AGTTTTGATTTAAAATTCAAATAGGAGATAATTAACAAGCTTTATCTTAGATATAGAGATTGGATTCCTTCTAGAAGTTTGACTTCTACTCTATAAATACTATTTTTGAGACAATTTTCGGAATGGTTTTTTGCCCTAATTTTAGAGGTGGCCGAAAATCCTCTATAGAGTGAAGGAAACATTTTTCTCCAAAAATTCCACATCGTGCATGCGATGGTGTTTGTGGAAATTCGAGTGTTTATTGTAACCCGTTTTGTCTCATGTGTGCCCACACACACGTCTTCGTGGATTCTAGGAATTGATGTGGAAGACATTGTTTTTTTAAACACAAAGATTGGAGCAAGGACTGTTCGTGGTCAAAGAACTCAAGTTATCATCCGAGTCGGCTTCCAGGTATTTTTCCTGATTGAGTTCTTGATCTTTATAAGTTAATGAGATTAATTTATTCGTGCATAAATTAATATAATCTATAGAGTATCTCAAAAGTTTTATGAAAATTTTTGTTATACACGATCCGCCTCTTCCCCGCACCACCGCGCTTCCGCAGCCGGATTCGATTCGGCAACCAACATCTCTCTCTCTCTCCCTCTCTCCCTCTCTCTCTCTCTCTGTGTTCTCTAGGTTTACCCAGAGAGAAATCCTCTCTCTCTCTCTGCCCTCACTCGATTCCCCCAAATTCCCAACTTTTGGTTTCAGATTTTGTGAAGATTGGGTTGTGGAAAGAAGATCGAAGACGATCTCGACGTTGTGTTTGTACCTAATTAGAAATTTCATAATTCTCTTTGTTTCATTCGACGTTGTGTTTTAATGGCGGATTTATGTTTCAGTTTTTACTCCATTGGTTCCAGTTATAGGGAAAAAACAAAAAACGTTCTGAGGATTACGTTTGGAGACCCATTTTCCAAGAAACAAAATTAAGACCACGCATTTTCAGTTCTTCTCCTGATTTGAGACCCATTTTCCAACACCACCTCGCCTGATATGATTTCTGCATCACCTCTCCTCGCCTGATCTGATCGTCCAACTGTGGCAGGTGTTTTCTTGATCGACGAATATCCGGCCCTCCTCCCCCAAATCTACCGAGGTATGGCCCTCCTCCAGGTGTTTAGCTGGTTCTTTTTTTGTGATTTTCGGATCATTTGTGCATATTTTCTCCCAATCCGTAGATCTGACTGCTTGTGATTTTGAAGGAAATTTTTGTTAATTTTTTATGTTATTGATTTCCCAATCTGTAGTTTCTGTAGATCTGATTGCTTGTGATATTTCTTTTAAATAGTTGTTGCAATATGAAGTGGGTTTCTTGTAGTTTCTGTCTTATGCTTCTTTTTTCTTTTTGCGCTTTCTTAACAAATGTGTGGAAACAGAGTATGGGGGATTTTGGATTTTGATCTTTTTCTGCAATTTTCAATCGAGGTTAGTATTTAAATGTAAATTAAATGAGAAACTCTCCAAATTTTCAGAACAATTTGGTTGACAATAATTTTTTTTGTTACATAGTTTATGTTTCGATGCATGATAAATAGATTTTGACTCTCAGAGAGGTGGAGAAGGCTGTTATGAAACAAATCTTGTTTTGCAGTTTCTTCATTTTCATGTTCTGCATTTTTGGCCTGCAACCTCTCAGGAAGTTGGTTCCAGTTATAGGGCAAAGAGCTGTTTTGGGACTATCCGGTTATGTGATCAACAACATTGCCTTTGTCTTTGCAGCGGTTTACTTTTATCAGTAAGTTAGTTATTTAGCACCATAAATAGTTTTTTGTCAAGCTGGGTAATAGGCTTTCAGTTGCCATTTTGAAGGACCGGGATGCGGCATTTAGAGCTTCAATCTTGTTTTGCTTCAATCCAACTTCCATATTTTATTCCTCAATGTAATAGTTGTTTCTGTTTTCTGTTCTAAATTGATTGCCGTAAAAGATTACAAATCTGAGATTTTCGTTTCGCCTTTTTGCCCACGCAGATATTCGGAGAGTTTGTATGCTCTATTTTCAATTGGAGGATTGTATCACTTGATATCTGGGAGAAATAATATTGTCATTCTTTGGTTTGCTCTTTCTGGATTTGCAAGGTACAATGGAGTGATCAATGCAGGTTACATCTGTTTCCAAACTATGCATCGGACATATAATGTTGTACTTAGAAAGAGTACTTTTGTAAGTGTTCATTGCATGTTTTTTGCTGATTTGAGTGGACTAATATCTTATTTAGTGGACCATCTTTGCTCAGCTAAGCTTCCTTTACCTATAAACCTATTGATAGTTGATAAAAATCCCAGTAACTCGTTGGGCCTATTTGTTTCTGTTTCAATTTCCATTTTTCACGTTTTTTGAAGTAAAAAATTGAAAACGGGTGTTAAAAACGCGTTTGGTGCAAGTTTTTTTATAAAACAAAAACAAAAACGTTTTTATCTTTTTGTGGAAATCAGAAAACGAAAAAAACCTGTTTTCTCCATTTTCGTTTTCTTTTCCTTTTCTCTCCCGTTTTCTGCTTCAGCCTCCCCCGTCTGAGTTTTCTTTTTCTGCTTCAGCCATTCTTCAGCCTAGATTCTTCAGCCTTCTTGCCGGCCGAGCTCTTCCGTTCTTCTCGCCGGATTCGTTTTCTCCGGTTTCCTTCTCGCCTAACTTGCGCCGTTGGGGCTCCTCCGGTTTCCTCCGTTCTTCCCGTTCTCGTCTCAGCCTCTTCTCACCAAGGTATGGCTCCTCTCACTGAGTTATTTGTTTTCTGATTTGGTTTCCTTCCCGCCTGAGTTGGTTGAGTTTTTTTAGCTGATTTTGGAGTTTTTTTAGCTGATTTGGTTATTTTTTTATGGGTTTTTTTTTATAATGATTTTGACTTGATATACTCAACGAAATCGGTTAATTTCCGTTTGATTTGGTTAGTATTTTGTCTAATTTTTTGATTATCTGAGTTGCTGAATTTTTTTCCCTTTTTTTTCCTGGGAGCCTCCCATTGGGGCTGAATCAGCCCCTAATGGAGGCTGATAATCAGCCCCAATGGGGGCTGAATCAGCCCCTGGGAGGCCCCCGTTGGGGCTGAATCAACCCCTGGGGGCCTCCCATTGGGGCTGACCTGGGAGGCCCCAATAGGGACAGATAATCAGCCCCCATAAACCCTGATGGGGGCTGATGATAATCAGCCCCAATGGGGGCTGATAATCAGCCCCCATCAACCCCAATGGGGGCTGATTTCAGCCCCCATGAGCCCCAATGGGGGATAAATTCAGTCCTGATGAGGGCTGATATGAGCATCAATGGGGGGCTGATAATCAGCCCCCATGGGTGCTGATAATCAGCCCCCATCAGCCCTAATGGGGGATTATCAGTCCTGATGGGGGCTGATAATCAGCCCCCATCAGGCCCAATGGGGGCTGATTTCAGCCCTGATGGGGGCTGCTAATCAGCCCCCAAGAGCCCCAATGGGGGCTGATAATCAGCCCCAATAGGGGTTGATTATCAGCTCCCATGGGGGCTGATAATCAGCCTCCATCAGCCCCAATAGGGGCTGATTTCAGCCTTGATAGGGGTTGATAATCAGTCCCCATGAGCCCTAATGGGGGTTGATTTCAGCCCTGATGGGGGTGATAATCAGTCCCCATGAGCCCTAATGGGGGTTGATTTCAGCCCTGATGGGGGCTGATAATCAGTCCCCATGAGGCCCAATGGGGGCTGATTTCAGCCCTAATGGGGGCTGATTTCAGCCCCCATCAGCCCCAATCAACCCCAATGGGGTTGATTTCAGACTTGATGGGGGTTGATAATCAGCCCCCATAAGCCCCAATGGGGGCTGATTTCAGCCCTGATGGGGGCTATCAGCCCCCATGAGCCCCAATGGGGGCTGATTTGAGCCCTGATGGGGGCTAATTTCAGCCCCCATGAGCTCCAATGGGGGCTGATTATCAGCTCTCATGGGGGCTGATAATCAGCCCCCTTCAGCCCCAATGGGGGCTGAAATGAGCTCCAATGGGGGCTGATTATCAGCCCCCTTCAGCCCCAATGGGGGCTGATTTCAGCCCTGATGGGGGCTGATAATCAGCCCCCATGAGCCCCAATGGGGGTTGATTTCAGCCCCCATCAGCCCCAATGGGGGCTGATTATCAGCCCCCATCAACCCCAATTTCAGCCCCCATCAGCCCCAATGGGGGTTGATTATTAGCCCCCATCAGACCATGCGTGTGTGTGTGCCTATGTGTTTGTATATACTTTACAAATTGACATTTATTTTAATGATGAAAGTGTTATTTTAGATGTGTGATAAGGACGATAATACGAAATGGCCGGCCGCAATTGAGGATTTTTATGTAGAACTGATATACGAAGAGTCAAAGACTGGGATGCAAACATCCACTCTGGACAAAAAATGTGAATGAAAATTGCTAATGAAATAGCACTTAAGTTTGGTAAGCGTTTCACATCAGACCAGCTTAAAGAAAATTGGAATGGGCTTAGACGTAGCACGAGAGAGTTTAAGGCATTAATTGAAACAACAGGGTTTGTTAAACATGGGGGTAATCTTCCAAGTACCTCCACGTTCGTTAAACATGGGGGTAATCTTTCCTTCCTTTGCCACTCTAGCTGCGATTTCATGACCCTTAGCCTTCCCTCGACCTCCACGACATCGTCGAGGTGCAACATCGGGTGTTGTAGAATGAAATATATTTAGTGATCCTATAATACAGATGTAATTAATTTAACCAATTTATTATTATGTTCTAACATACTTGACTCACAATGTGATGACAACATATAAGGATCGGGTGGAGGCTGTGCTCCCCCTAAAGAGCCAGCACATGTAGCGACTAGGCCAGACATGATTGCCTGTTAGGAAGTCATCATAAACGTTATTATCTTATTTACAGAGATCTTATGTTATATGAATAATTACAATTATTAAAACAATAATCGCAGTACATAATTTCTATTCATCGTCACTGTTAACGTCTTGATTGTCGCCCTCCTCATTTATGTCACTATCATCCTCAGAATCGTCGATGTCTTCTTCAACTAAGTCATCATCATCATCATCATCGACTAGTATATCGGAGTCATTATCCCTAACGGAAGACTTGTCTTTTAAAATTGCATCAACATCGAACAAGACAACATCAGATGATATATCAGGTCGATTCCACATCAAAGTGTCAATCTCGGAAAGTTCCACCACTAAGTCAACATTCATAGACTTGGTATCTTGAACTATTGTAATGTCGTCTACTTCCGTATATGGAATATCCCAAATATGTCGATGTCTAAAATGTTCAACAATTTTCTAGTTCGGCCCGTTGAATAAATCTTCCACATAAAAAACCTGTTCCGCTTGAGATGACAGTATAAATGGTTAATTCTCATACCAAGAGTCCTTAACAAAGATGCTCGTTCTATTCTTGTGTCGTTGAACTCTCTTTCTTCCTGGATGAGTATTGAACCATTTACATTTAAACAGAAGAACATAGTTGTCGTTTATGTATGATAATTCATAAATCTCTTCTAGTACTCCGTAATATGTTTGATTATCTGGTCCGCGAACACAAATAACATTATTCTGTATGTTTTGATTGATATCCTGACTGTATGTCAGAAACTTGACTCCATTCACCACACAGCCGGAGTAGCTTTTAACGGAGAAGGTTGAACCACACAAAAGAGAAATTAATTGTGCGGTCGCGTCGGGCGTGTTCCGCTCTTACAGATTGGACATCTGTCAACATTAAACAATATCAACTGTACTTCTATGTAGCCACTGTTTTTGTAATTATAAATTATGACTATAGCGTAATACCTTACGCCGGAACCATTTTAGAAATTCTCTGAATTGAATTTCGTCTAATGATCCAGTCCGACCATTGTCATTAAGTTCTTTCTTGTGTTCACTGAAATTATAAATTTGAGTTAGTGTTATCATTTCATGTGACTTAATTATGTAATAAAACAGTGAGGTAATACTTACTCTTCAGAATTTGAAGCTAGAGGTGTCAAAAAAGTTACTACAGGGATAACTGGCTTGTGGCAGCCAAGCGTTCATAGCGACGTTGCTTTTTGATCCTTCGATGTCGACTCTTCCTATCATTGTGAAGCAGAATTCACCAAGTGTTGGATTGTTCACCCACCAATAGGGAACGTGAGCTGGGTTTAGACCGTCGTGAGACAGGTTAGTTTTACCCTACTAATGATAGTGTCACAATAGTAATCCAACCTAGTACGCGAGGAACCGTTGATTCACACAATTGGTCGTCGCATTTGGTTGAAAAGCCAGTGGCGCAAAGCTACCGTGCGTTGGATTATGACTGAACGCCTCTAAGTAAGAATTCAGGCTAGAAGCGACGCGTGCACGCCAAGTGTTGTGTTGGTTGCTCCCGAGCGTTGCGATCGGGATTGCGGCTGAGCCCTCCCGTCATTGAACGGAAGGGCTGGGAACAAAACCCCAAAGTCATGGCAAGCACCTCACGAAGCGTTGGTAGAAATGTTGGCTGAATTCTTCTTAGTGGTTTAGGATCAAAATGTGTGCCCTGCGTTTTTAGGACTCAAGTGTTGGTTGCTACTGAGCGTTGCTACCGGTCGAGCCCTCCCGTTATTGCATGAAAGGGTCGGTGACAAAACCCCAAGTGTTCGCCCGAGTGCCGGGAACTCATTTTTCTGCGCCCTAATGTTGTCCGGTGCGGGTATTGTAGCTCTTTGTTACCCTCGGCTTGTTAAAAGGATTTGAGACCGGAAGTGATGGCAGGAAAATCGATTGTCCGGACATAAACACAACCGGAAGAATTGTGCTCGCTTGAAATTGACCCCAAACCGGAAGAATTTCTCAATTTCCACATACAATCATTGTCCGAACCCCAAAGCCGAGTCCGCGGCCGGATGGGCCACAGAAAAAGGCAAGAAATGGACCACCCACACTCCCCAATCAGGATGGTGGAGACAAAAGTTATTGCCCGGCAAACACGACGGCCTACCTAGCGCGTCAGGGGCACCCCGCGCGCGCGGACGAGCGCGGAAGACAGTGGGTCAAAAGTCCACATTTTTTATGGTTTCTTTGGATTTTTCCCTAGAAGGCATTAATGTTTTGCTTCCTAAGATTCACTCAGAATTTTTAGGAATTAATACAACAAGCGGCACTTTTTTTGGATGAAAATTCTATTTTCTAGAATTTCTGCCATTTTTCACCTTTGAAAAATCAAAAAAATGAAAAGAGAGGTCAAACAATTCTGAAATTTTGCAGATGCCATCCTTACATTTTTCTAAGTGTGCCTGCAAAAAATCGCATCAAAACAGCAAGTATAACATGCTTTTTGGGGCTGATACCTCCTCACGCCGGTGCCGTTTCCTCCTGCCGGGAGAGAAAAAGCTTATTAAGCTCTTT